AACAATCCACACCTCCCTCTTTGTATGAGCTTTGATCCACCTCTGACAGATATCGCGTTCTCATAAACAGTAGCGTTTGAGGCGTTCTTTGTACATATGATCGGCTCCCAGATTCGTGTGGAGGTGGACGGACTTTACCTGATAACTCGGGTAGACTTATGAAACCTCCACGTTGTAGCATTGCTTTTCGTACTCTCTAACTAGCAAAAACCGCAACGCTGTGAGTTGGCAAGACTTCAACTCCACACAATCTAGGAGCCGATGATACGAATATTTTGATTTATTTAAGCTTCCCCAAATAAAGCTTTTTAGGTGCTCGTCCCTGTCGCTGCTTCAAACTACTTCAACAATCTAGGTATTTGTGTCATTTTGGTGTTTTCTAGCAACAAGAATATCATTATTGGAAGTGCGACAAAAATAGAAATTTTCAACAATGACTTCGTAACTCCAACAAATCAAACGCGACTTCGTTTTTGAAAAGGCAAGAAGGCGAATTTTCTCCGGCCCTAAATGCAATGCGTCCGGAATCACGTATTGCCGATATTATGACTAGCAAAAAGCACCGCACCTCTTCCCTTTTGCTCGTTTTGTTGAACAACGTCCCAGCACTTTCGTCGCTTGAATCATCATCGATCGAGAAGACTGACGGCTCGTTACGGTACCTTGAAGAAAACATCAGTATAACGGATAAGAGAAGATAAAATGGTAGTACCTCTTTCCATAACGATCAGAAGATAGAACGTGTTTCACTTCACCGCCCGCTGTCTGTGAAGGAGCTGCTTGTGTCACGAGTTCACTAACCTTATCTTTGACAGCTGTGGATTTAGAGATGACCACTTCCTTCATTTTTCCGACCAATTTCTGAAAATTTACAGATATAAAACAGTAACTGGATGGTTAGGATGCAAGTGAACATAAATCAAAACTCACCCAGCTTCTGCCTCCACTGCCGTTTGTACATTCACTGCATTTCGATTCGTCATGGGAGTTGATAAAACGTAGACGATTTGTATCACATAGGGCACTATGGAGACCTAGATCATTCTTAATCATCAAATACGCTCTTGCTAAAAAAAGAAGAAAGTAAAAGCGAAGACATAACGATCTTGTTAAAGAAGTAGAAGAAAATGAAAACAAAGACATAAAAGCGAAACATGAGCAAAGCAATCCCGAAATTTCTTTTAAAACATACCACGATAGCCTCCTTGAGCAAATGTCACATGGCTCTTACCATCTC